TCCAACTAGGTAACACCCTCCTGAAACAAACAGCACGCTGAGGTTGGCATAACCTGCTCTCCCACTGCACTCGCTCCCCGTAAGGCTCCGTGAGCTTTGAAACGTCAATGATATTGGCCAAGAGGCCACTAGTTAGAGTCTCTTACAGTGAAAGTACTACTCAGCTGAATAAAAAGAAACATCCATGACAACTTAAAATTTTGTTTCTAAGGCAAATCCCCATGACTCTGCGAAGTGTAATACAGCGTGTTAAACTCAGTGCCTGTGGATCAGGACCTTGGATTCACAGCAAGAAAGGCTCTCCTGGGTCGTACCAAGGGAGGCAGTATTGATGCTATAAAGTTCAGAGATGAGAGTGGTGACTGTGCAGAGATAGGCTGGAAAGAAGGAAGCAGCCCACGGGCAGGCTGCAGAACCAGTCACCGGGCATCGTGCTGATGATATTTAATTCGACGTGTTTCAATCAAGAGTGAGACCCCAGGCTACCATTCATTAAGGTATAACTGTTGTGACAATTCATGAAACTCTTCACTCCTCCTCTGGAGCATCAAAATAAAGAAACAGAGAGGGAAAAAAGGGAAGATTCCATGTTTACATTTTATGAATTGTAAGTGTGCACAGTATCCATCACTCCACTTTAGGGATTACAGCACATTTCCAGAACCAAGTGATTTTTTATCTTTAGTTAATTTATCAAGTAATCCTCAGTGGGCTTATGTCATTACTCTTTTTGCTCAGGCAAAACGAAGGTTTCCCAAAATTTATGCATACAGTTCATTGAAGAGATGATCATCCGAGGTTGATTAATCCATGAAAAATTTACCATGTGAGCTGGCAACTGTGTACCAAATACCAAAGGAGAGCAATGTGTTCCTAACTGAGTGCAAGTTTCTGAGAGCAACACAGGCCATATCTATGGAAACTGAGAAGATGTATAGCCAGGCAAGAACAGCTCACTCACTCATGAAACGGCCCTGGTTTCGAGAAGCATCTTTATGTGATCAGCAACCATCTCAAGTCACCCCACAGTCATACATTTGGGGAGGTGGCATGAAAGGTAGAAATCCTCTCTTCCTTGTGTGTATACGACTGGGTTTCAATTTTAGAAAATGCCAGACAAAGGCATCCTTTCCCAATAGAATTACTTTGGGAGAAGTAAAAGGAAAAAAATTTCACAAGTCAAGTTTAAGATGGCAAGTTTTCAAAAAATAAAAAAAGTAAGAATATTCACTTTCAACTGTAATCTTGGGGCCCAGTCTTCCACGGAAAGAAATACTCTGTTCAGAAATTCAGCACTCCCTGCAAACATTGGCATCACTGAAGATAAAAAAGTGTTTTGGTCCGGAAGTCAAGGTTGAGGTTAGAGTTCGCTTCCCAAGAAGAAAAATAGTACAAGGTCGCCCCACCAGCGCATGGCAGGAAACATTCTAGGAACGAATCACGTGCATTTGAAGTATTTCAAACTGCTCGATGAACAAAAGAAGAACTGTTAACGTCAGAGAGGAAGAAATCCTTCCTCTCATAAAAGATGCTTTTGAGGATAACTAGAGTGTTGGGATCTTCTTGGAAGATGCAATGTCATCCTTTTCCTCTCCAGAAGGAGGTAAAAATACCCCCTTCCACCCAAAGATCACCTGCTCGTATCTCTTGTCAAGCTTTCCCGCCGGCTGAACACAAATCATACTGCAGCCTGTAAAGACCAGTACTCCAGGAGAAGCGCTCAGGAGGGCTTCATTCAGGACTTTGGATAGGATTAAAGTTCTTCCCCTTCAATAAAGACAATAAGGAAGTTTGCTGAAAGGTTAACTTACTGGAGAATCAATGTAGGTCAGACACACTGAGAAGTTATAAATCTCTCCCCGGTGGGGGGGGGTGCCTATCAGCAGTTCAAGCCAGTCCAGCTCTTAAGAGCATTAAAGCAAATGCACTAAGCCTAATATATTCACACACAACACACATGGTGGCTGTTCCACATGCTTCATAACTCAGAGGGCAATGGTGTCTGTGTGGGAAATGGATGCTGTGACAGGTCCCTGGTGATTTATACCGCAGCACTCACGGAGGAGCGGACAGCCGGGCTGCCCGGGTGCCCGCAGGTCCTGCCATGTTCCGCTCAACAGCACACCCTTATGGGGGCATCTGATCTGCTTTGGTTGGGGTGGGGGATGAGAAAGAGGTGGAGAGGGGAGCAGCAAGCCTCATCTTACCACGTCCCGACAACATAAACTCACATTACTTTTTTTTCTGTAGAATGTAAACCCAAACATATATATGAAGAATTAATTAGCATGTATACTTCTTATTTCATTCATTAACATCTATCATTGAAAAACCTCATCTCATACTGAGATCTCAGGACTCTACTGAGTGCCTCTGTTTGTGGCTCAAGTCAAACATGTAAGAAGACTGCCTCTTACAAAAGCCAACTGAAAAGCCACCAGCCTCCTCCTCCAGCATCAAGTTCCCCATCCTATGCCAACACTCGTCATGGATGCCCTTTGTTATGTCATAACAATTTCACAAAAATCTACAGCAGGTCCAGACTTTATCTAGGAAGTGCTATTGTGCTAGTCTCCATCATCCTTTGTCACCAATCAACAAAGTCTTTAAAAAACATCCTGCTGAACGGGAATTTCACTGCCAGGAAACTAGACACTTGGCCTTATTAAGGGCACCTCCTACTGGTCCTTTCAAGGAGTGAAATGTGCTTTCTTCATCATCAGTTCCCTGCCATGTCCCTGAAGAGGGGAAACTGCTACTAGGAGAAAGGAGAAACAGATTAAGGAGCAAAGATCAGAGTGATCTGAACTGCGAATATCTCAGGACTGCACCATTCACTTTGCTGGGACCTGTGCAAACTACATCACACTTGCAAATAACAGAAATCCAGAAGCAGAGAGAAGCTTAAAGATTTAGAGCCGCAAGCCCATCCACAGGCTTATCCCTTGTACATGTATACTTTTGTCTGCCTTTTCAATCATAGACTTCTCTGTTGAGGAGTTAAGTAAAATAAAGTAATATATGGCTCTCTCTAGACAAGAAACTTAAGTGGGAAAGGGGATATTTAATTAACTTAGATATTAAGAAAACATATACAAATCCATCTCCATTCATTTATCCCCATCTTTCACCAAAGTCACTTAAGAAATGGCTTTAAAATATTTTAGTCTAACTGACAAAACGCCATTGTCCATTTTTGCACATCTTCCTGGTCTAATGCAATATTTTCGGCCGACACATTTCAAGCCTGGCCCTGTAGACTTTCAACCCAGCGAGGATGCCCCTCTAAACTTCCCCTCTCTCCTCCGTGGCGGTCTCCCGAACCGCCCAAGAGCGCAAGTCCACCTTCTGTGCAGAAGGATAACGCTCCTCGCCGAATCTAGTGTCTGTCGGTAGCAGGAGGAAATTTCAAACAGATACCTATTCGTTACTGTGGGGATAGTCCCCCACCCACCTTCTGCGGGAGTAATTGCTGAGGACAAAGCTCCGGGAGGAGCCGGGGAGGAGGAGACCGGCCTGAGGGGGAGGGAGGGTGCACCGGCTGCTGGGCGCGCAACGCTGGGGAGCGCGCGCGCGCACAAACACACACATCCCTCTTGCTGGCTTATGCTAGCTAGCTCTGTCTGGCCAAAGGAAGGTGAGGAGTCGGGTCGGTGTGGATGCGCAGATTCCTGCTCTCGTGTGGCCGCATCAGGATTTGGGGAGCCTCAGACTGCCTCCCTGCTTGACTGAATCCCTAGCAACCAGAGAGGTGCATTCCCCGCTGGCGTTCGCAACGCTGCGCCGTGCAGCACTTAGCAGGGAGAGAAAGCCGGAGCTTCAGGCTCCCGGGAGGCTGGGGGCTTGGCAGTAATTTACATTCCGCTCTCTGTTAATTTCCGAGACGCAGGTTGTGTCGCTCCCAACCCAACGCCTGGCCCCTGCTGGAGGCTCCTTTTCTTTCGGATTTGAGAAAAGGTCGTTTCCGAAGGGATTTGAATGCTCAGCCGGCTGCTCTCCCCTCCTTCCCCGCCGGGCCCACTCCCTGTACCCCAGTGTCCGTCTATACCTATGGTGAGGCCAGCAAAACGAGTGGACCTTATAATGAGTCATTTTGTTCTTTAAAAAAAAAAATCTTTTGGCCGTCGAAACCTCCAGCTCAAATTCGCAGACTGCAGCAGCCCTGAGCATCCCTCAGACCCCTCTTTCTCCTGTTATAACCCCATCCAATCCCCAGTTTTGCCATTTTTAATTAGAAACTGCGCTTGCCAAGTGCCAGGGCCAGGGGGGCTGGTTCTCCGGAATATCAATCATTTGGAGTTTGGAAGTGTCCTGGAGACATTTGGAGACTTAGCTTGAGAGCTGCATAAACCGTTATAAAAAATAAAAATAAAATAAAATACGCCTCCTTCCTCCTGGCAACTCTGTACCTTTCGGTGCCACCGTCCCCTCCTCTGAAGTACCAAAACACATTAGCTGTTCCTCTCTCGATTCTCAATCAGCAAGTCTAAAAATCCAAAACGGAGGCACAGATAATCACCACAAACCGCTCAGCCCCACCATCTACACTTCGCACAGCTCCCTCAAAGCCCCCTCGATGATGATCTCCACTTGGCCCTGTTGCCCCAATTTACCTCCTTAGTAGCTTTTTGAGGCTTTAAGGATCCAATCCAGTCCCTTTGAACGACATCCCCATCACCTGCCTCCTCCCGGCCCCAGCCCGCCCGCTCTCCAAACCAAGGCAAGAATTTGCAAAAGCAAAAATGCGAGAAGCACCAGGTTTGTTAAAAAGCGAAGGGGCGCCCCTTTCCCCAGCCGCCAGCATCCTCCGCCCCCAGGGGAAAAAAGTCTCCTCGTCTTTTATCATCCGTGAGGAAATGGGGGAGAGAGAACGCGCAGAACATCTTGCCCTTTCTCCCTCTATCCCAATTTTACCAGTTGTCAAAGGAAACGAGAAGAAGGAAAGGGGGTAAAGGGGGCGGGGGGCGGGTGCGACGAGAAGAAAGGAAAGAACCTCTTACCGGTGACTTGAAGATGTGCGCTGAGCAGGGTAGCTCCGAAGAGTACAAAAGCCAGCCTGGGTACCCAAACACATCCAAGACTATTCTCCATATTTCAGCCAGCACCTTCGGGGCCGGGGGTCCTGGGCAGCGGCGGCACTCACACACATGCACTCACACACGCATGCACACATGCACACACACGCGCCGAGCCCCTTGGCTTCCTCCTCCTCCTCCTCCTCGTCCTCTTCCTCCACCTCCCCTGCGCCGCTTCTGTCTCCGAAGCCTTTTTTCTCGTCCACTGACAGAATCAGCAGCAAAAAGAGGCAGCAAAAAGTTCCATTCGGTCCAAGAGATCCGAAGCCTTGGTAAAACCTTGAAAAACTAACTCAAATAAACAGAGGGAGCAAGAGGAGGGAAGACAGCTCTCCGCGGGGCTTGCAAGTCATCAATAAACAGAATATCCAGGAGGGACCAAGAGGAGACGGAAAGCAATCCTGTGGTTGGGCTGTGCATCCAAAGGTTGAGGCTGGTTCCCGGTCCGCGGCTGGGTCAAGTTGAAGAGAAAAATCCGCGCTGGAGACCTGGGGAGGCTGTTCGTCTTCCCTCCGAGAGCCCGCGGGGACCTAGGGAGGAGAGGCGGGGGGCTGCGGGGTGGAGCGCTCTCACTTGTTACCGGGGTGTCCGCCAGCGGCGTGTGAGCTGGGAGTTGGAGCCGTACTACCCATTGATCCAGAGAAGTGCAGGGCTGGAAGGGAAAATGCGGAGACCGGAGGGAAGCGAACTGGATCCGGCCAAGATTCCACGGGAAAGGGGGTGGGGGCAGAGAGAAGCCGGCGAAGGAAAAAAAGAGCGGTCGGAGGAGGCTCCCAGCAGCTGCCTCCGCCTGGTCTACATATCAATGAGCAGGGATGCCCTCTGTGGGCAAAGCGTGGGAAGTCACTTCTGTCAACGGATCTGGCAAATCTCCTGAGTGTCTGGGGGTTTGCGGCTATTTCCTTTGACACCTAATCTTGGGGAAATTATTTCTGCCTGTAAAATCCAGACAGGTATCTGGGCTGGGTCAGATGGCCCGGGCGTTTACTTTCTTCTCTGCCCTTAGCATTATCTCAAAACAGAATCTTACATCTGGAAGAATCCCCTAACCCATCTCCCTTCTAGGACTCGGGAACTGAGGTCCAGAAACACAAGAGACAGATACCCGACTGCTCCTTCCTGGCACAACAGCTAGGGTCCTCTTTCTGTAAGATGTCTTATTTCATCTGTGTTCTCTCTTCTCTATAGATGGGAGTCAATGCTTTATTCAACACATTTTAAAGCATCTAGCACATTCCAGGTACCCTGTTAGCTCCCAGAAAATATAGATGCAAAGTTTAATAGGTCTCAGCCTCTAACCTCTAGGGTTGGTGATCTGTTGGGAGAGAGAACACAAGTAGATAATTATAAAATGTTATGATAAATACCATGGCCCATGTAATGAGGAGGTGCTCTGGGAGAACAAGAGAGGGACTTCTCCAGTCCCTGGGGACATGGAATGAAGCAAACACAGCAGCAGAGCAGGACATTTAGGAAGGGTGAACACTGGAGACCTTCCTGGAAACAGCTTTAAGCTGACCTTCTTTGTACATCTTAACCACCACTGCGGGACCTAAAGCTTCTTGGAGAGGAAGGGTTGATGTCATTCATCTTTGCACTCCTCACAGATCTAGCACAGGACTTGGAATACTGCGCATGCCAGTGTCTTTTTGCTGAATAAGTGAACTTACAAACGAACGAACTTGGCTGCGAAGGATGAATAGAAATGCCATTCTGGTAAAAAGTTCTATCTCTTAAGGAGCTAGCTGTTCAGCTGTGGGTTCCCCCCATGTCCCCACTGCATCACATTATCTGCTGACTCTTTCTCTTCCCCACACCTTCTTGTCACTTTCTCACCCCCATGAGTTTCTGAGAGGAGAGAAGGTGAATATCTATTTTAAAAGAAGTGGGGAAAGCATGAAGAATATGGGATGAAATCACCACCAGGAAAAGTTCCATGATATTAGAGCTGGACAACAGTTTTTCTGGATCATTAGCCATGTCCATCCCTTCCTGTTCTTGCAAAAATTAAAATGAGAAGTACCTGTGATTTCCAGATCAAAACTTCCATGAAACAGATTAAATGAATGAGTTCCCTAGAATGGAATGGGACTCTTCGGTGACCCCCACCCAAACATTTCTTAAAATACTCAGTGTCCCTTAGCTGAGGACGAGGTCTCTGAGATAGAGGCTCACGGTCTAGAACAAGGATCCTTAAGTGGGTCCATGGAATCTTCCTGGAAGGTCCCTGCTGACCTTCCTTCATCAACACTCTGAAATTTTATGAAAAATGACTGACTTCTGTGCCCATGCCCTCTTCTCCCTTAGGAGGGAATCTTCAGCTTTCATCAGATGCACAAAGTGAGCTCAAGCCTGCCCCCAACCAAAAAGGACGGAAAGAACCACTTGTTTGGAAAGTAAGGTATAAGGAAAGTGTCACAACCTCTTCCCGAGAGAGTGGTAAAGTCTTCTGTTCTCTTCATCAGTAAGTCCACAAAGAATGGGAGGATAGGAACCTAAAATGGTGTATGCTGTTCAAATCCCTTTAAATGGACACTGCTCACTGTAACACAGAACAAGTAGAGATTAAGTTCCTCTTCGTCATGGTCCTTGACCCCTGTACCCTGAGTCATCAAGGTCATCTGCCCACTGACCCATGAGCTTCTAAAAAGATCATCAAATTCTCTTTCTCTTAGATGCGTATTCGGTTTCACAACTAGCTCCTGACAGTTGCTTGTACTCACCTCCTCGATACGCTCTTTTTAAAGAGATGACTCCAGCTTGATTTTGGTGTCTCCTCTTGGAAACAGCTTCAGTATTTTCTGATTCACAGCATGACCAGTTATACTTGGGAGACACGGCACCTCCTCATTGCTCCTCTCAGAGGTGCCAGACCCACTTACCATCTAGCCTCCTTGTCAGGAAAAAAGGAAACCCGAACACCAGAGAGTAAGAGGGGAGGAATGGGAACCACAGGAAACAGCTTTAGAGTCACTAATCCTCATCACATAGTATTTATGATATTTGGCAGTGGAAGTCCCCTTCTGGGGTTTAATCTGATCATAAAATATACAGACACCCAGACAAAGGCAAATTAACCAATACTTACATTTCTTCAAACCACACGTGCCCCAAGTCATGCCGGTGTTTGGGGAGGGAAGAATCGGGAACATTGATTTTTCTTAGATTAGCCCAAGAAGATGAGTCAAGTTAAAAATAAGTATTTCCTTTTAGGATCCCCATTACGGAACTGCATTTCTTGTCCCTTCTTAATTCAGAAAATTGATGACCTTAACCTATTTCTATTCTCCTTTCACTATCATGATCTGACTTTAATAGATACTTTCTATAACATGTTTAGAAATTTATTTGCCAAAACTGTGACATCTAGTCTAATGATACATGTCAGGCTATGAATTTGACCATGGTGCAGATCAAGCCATGAGAACATGACAATGTAACAATTCGCCAGCTAGTCACTTATTTAAGAACACCAATTATTATCTTAGACACGTGGGCTGTGTAATATCTACATAAAATATACAACTATAAATAAGATGTGGCCATTGCCCTTGGGGCAGTGGGGGTGAAGGGATGTATCTGCGTTGACATTTGTTGGTTGTTTTACTTTTTGTTTCTGTCTTTGCTCAGAATGTGTTCTCCCTTCTCGCGGTAACCCGTCTCACATTTTGTCACTCCCTCTCCACGTTCTCAACCACAAGTTGAGGAAGTGGATCCTGAGTCATTTCAGTCATACAGAGTAGCCCATCCTCCTGATCAAGAAGATATATTCAGAGCTGAGACCATCAGCCAATCAGAGCAAAGGAGTCATTTCTGAGGCTTCTGGGAATGAGAATCTGTCTCTCTTGGGGGTATTGCTAGGAGGACCCTCTCTTCCCTCTAGACTGTGGAAGTATCTGAGCTTTAATGAAAGCGCTCATTTAGGAGGAAGCTTGGAGCTTCCATCAGATCCCTATGAGGAACTTGTGGTAGGAAAAAAATTCACCCCCTCTCCCCTCCGAAGATGCCCACATATGAATCTGTCACCTTACATGGAAAAATGGGTTTTCGATGTGATAAAATTAAGGGTCATGAAATTATCCCGGATTATCCCAGTGAGCCCAATGGAATCACAAGGGTTCCTAGAAAATGGAAGTGGGAGTCACACAATCATAGAGAAGGAGCTGTGATGGAGAAAGCCTGAGGTCAGGGCAGAGCGATGTCATTCCTGGAAGGGATCGTGGGCCATGGAACGTGGCCTCTTGAAAGCTGCAGAAGCCAAAAACCAGATTCTACCCTGGATCCTGCAAAAGGAATAAAGCCTTACCAACAGCCCGATTTTAGCCCTGTAAAATCACGTATGTATATATTGCAAATTAGTGGCTTAAAACAACACAAATTTATTCTCTTACAGTGTGGAGGTCTGCATGCAATGCAGGCAGCTCTAGACACTGGACAAAACAAGAAAAGGATTCTCTCCTAGAACCTCCAGGAGGAGCCCAACCCTCCGGACGCCTCGACAGTAACAGCGTAAGACCCATTTATAGACTTTTGACCTCCACAACCATAAGAGAATAAATCTGCGTTATTTTCAGACACTAATCTTGTCATGATTACTTACAGCACCAATAATAGAAAACAGTATAGAATATAAGAAAGAAGCTGAAACTGTCAAATTAGCAAATGAAAAAAGGGAAAGGACCTGAATTCTTGTTGACACTGGACAAAGCCATTTTGCCTGAGGACAGCCCAAACTTTAGATTTCCCAGTTACAGGACACAATTAATTCCTGTATTATTTAATCCAAGTTAAGGAGAATGTCTGCCTTTTACAACAAAGAATCCGAAACCAATTAAAAACAAAGTTTCCCTTTATTAAGTACATTTTCCTACCATGAAATGTAGGGCTTTTATTCAGTTCCAGCTTTGTAACTAATTTTTGAGAGGCAGAGGCCATCAGAAGTCTAACTCTGGGTGTGTGATGATACGATGGTGAAAAAGAGGCTTTATGATTATTCATCAGCAAAGCTTTCTCAATACCCACCGTACAGATACGATAGTGTGGTGGCTAAAAGGTAGGACAACAAAGAGTTCTTGCTTTCAAGCAACATCCAATCAAAACAAAGAAGACAGACATATTTTATGGCCTAGAATTTAAAACTTTTTAAGTGTAATAGCACAAAAGAAACACGGTAGTAATTCAGTAGAAGGGAGAAATAAGGTGGTCAGAGATGACTTTTTGGAAGTAATAGGACTCCAAAGGGACTAGTAACTGAGCAAAGAATTTGAAAGGATTATGGATAAGTACAGTTCTGGAAACTGAGCTTAAATCAGCCCAATGGGAGAGGGATCTGAGTAGGGGCATAGTAGACGAATCCCCAGTAAGGGAAGCCCTAGCAGGCTTAGCTTATGAGCTAAAAATACCCCCAAATTTCTAGTTTCAAATATTTTCTTAAGTACAAAAATTAATTGCAAAAGAGATAGATGAGTCACTTTGTTTTCAATCCTTAAAGAACAGGAGAGGCATTTATGCCTGAAAGTAGTCAGTTTCCTTCATTTACGTGAAAAAATGAAAAGGCGATAGATATTTCTAACTACAGGCAAGTGAGCCTGAAGTCAGTTCCAGGCAGAAGATAAAAATTAATGATGAAATACAAGATTTATAAACACTTAGGAAAGGATCGATGATCACTGGGACCCAGCATGGGTTCACTTAGAATAAATGATTACAGATTGAAGCAGCTGG